AAAAAAAAAAAAAAAAAAAAAAAAAAAAACAGTGAAAATTTTGAAGTCGGGCTTTACTGACCGCGGAATACTTATTCATATCCCATCAGCAATTTATTAGCTAAGTTTAGCTCTTATACTGTAGAAAATGAGGTCTCTAGTAAAATATACAAGAATTTAAAATAACTTTATCATCAGGTCCGATTTGTGAAGCCCCCTAAGAGAATAACGCTTATCTCGATCTGTCAAAAACGGTGGTTGAACGAATACACTTGATTTTGATGGTGTTTAGTTTTGTATTGATCTTTAATATTCTGAGCCTGGGTTTATATACCCAGACTCATGCATATTTTCAACCTTTAAATCTAGTGTATCTGTTGCGTAGTGTGTAAAGCTCAGCATTGGGCTATTACATATTATTATCTTATCGCTGAGTGTGTAAGACTCCGCGTTGGTTATTAGCTATTCTTATCCTATCGCTGAGTTTGTAAGGCTCAGCGCTCCTTTCTTACGTTATCTGGCTCTGGGGTTGCAAGGGCTGGTCTTCATTTGTCTATTTATACAGTCCGTAAATGTAACCCTTATCTTTTCACAGAGCACTACCTGATAATCGCTGAGTGCGTCGGAGGCATGTATACGATTTTCGTATATTCATATGTTCATGTCTGAACAGTGGTCGTCCAGATTAAAGCTTTGACAATATATGCTAGCATATGGGAATATCGGATCATTGTCGCAGTAGACATGAGTAAATAGACGGCCTACATGAGTAAGCATCAGCATAAATGTTCGCCAGCCCATATTAACATAAACCAAGGTAAACATGATTTAGAATAAATTAATTTTTAAAATGTTTAATTGAAAAGTTTCATATTTTTTCATAATTATATGTTATCGCTTAATAGCCGCTAATAAACAAACGCAATCAATCAATAATAAACAACAATATTAATATCGTACATATGCGTTAACAATCAGTTGAGCATGTCGTAAATCGAAATCGAAAATTTATATTGAAATCGATATCGATATAAATCGATTCAGAAGTCAGAATATGGCAGACTTTCTGTTGCTGCAACTGGCACTGTTTTTAGATGGTAGACACTCGGTTGGATATTGTTTGATCCTTTGCTCCAGCCCCGAGCGCAGTTGTTAAAGCTTTGATTGTTACCATGCACCACTTGTTGAGATCCAGCATAATACGATGTATTCGATCCATATGTAGGCGATGAAATCGTCGACCCACCCTCACGGCCACTAGTACCAGCAGATAGGAAAGGGGTTGGAGACCCATTTTGCACACCTCTATAGACAGGCTGTTTGTTAACATTGAGGAATCGTTTATTTCTCTGATCCGATGATTCTTGAAACTTCGATAGCTTATCGAACGACAATGGAGATGGACTAAAGTTGACCTGTGGTCCCGCCTGCTGCGAGCTGGATGGTAGCTTTTGATAACTGGTTGGATTATACAGCTGCTGCTTGGGTGGCACTGAATTATATAGACCAGATTTTTGATTCGCCACAGGGAAGCTATTATATGGTGGTGCGTCGTATGCCTTTGTAGAATAGTCCATGGGCTTTGGTGAGCTTTGGATATTATGTGTTGGCAGGCCAGGCGGAGGTGCATAGCTGGCCAAAGATATTTCCTTAGGTACATACAAGCCTATAAGAAAGGTGAGAAATAAAAATAAGTTAAATTAAATATGCATATTCATTCAACATTCATTATATATATAAAACACATTCAAAAAGTACGTTCATATGACATATTAACGAATAATTGGAGTTATAGCAGAAAGATGATCTGATGAGAAAAGTACGCAGCTCCTAACTCAAATTTTGGAATATAAACAAAAGAATCGAACAATTTATGATCAACAGTTTTTAAATTTTAATCAATACATATACTGTTCTTAGGATCAGTATTATACATATATCTTAACACCACAACACAAATCAGGGAACACATTTCGTCCATGCCTTTGATTGTCGCTCCGTCATTTATATGATCACTTGAATCACTCGACGTATTCAAAGTTTGAAACTGCGATTGTTTCTTATCGTTTGAAAATTCGCGTTGGTATTTCTGAATTGGTTCAGGTTCTCTTAGAGATTGCTGCTCAAAAGAGAATATTAATTCCCGTACATTAACTGATTCACTAGCTTCTTCAGTACTACTCCCTCGTCCAGCCACAGGTTCTTCAATTTCTGAACGTTTGGTTGGCGTTGTCTTCAGTGCGCTTATATTTCTGTTACCCATGGGCAGATTGACATTTGATTTCAGATTTAGTTCTTTCAATTGCTGTTGCATATAGCTTTGCTGAAATTGTTCTAACTGCTGTAGTCTCTTGTGAATTTCATCATTCAAAATAAATTCAGGTTGATGAAATTGCGTATTTATTCCATAAGCCTCGGGCTCAAGGAGTATCTGATCGTTGACGCAATGAAATGGTTTACCTAGATCCTGAATATTATGATTTATGAATTCTTGTTGTTGTTGGGATTGACAATGATACTCTGAAATATTTAAATTTTACATTAACTATAAAAGCAAATTGGTGTTTAGAAAGATAATATACTTTTAAACTAGAAACCTAAGCATTTGAGTCTAAGAAAATATATATATGTACTTTGCATTTCCAATTTTAAAAGTCTCTTTACCTCTTGGTAGTTCGACATTGCGACCTCCCCAGCCTTGAGCAACACTTGGCTTATACGCCAGTTCTCTCTGTGGATTGGATGGCTGAATCGGGTGACTTTTGCAGAGAGAATCAAGCGGCTGGAATATAAAAGAGTTGGTTTTAATTTCTTAATGTAAATTTTAAAAAGCTGAGTATGAAATGCATTTGGCTAGAAATTTAAAGCTAATTTAAGTTAGTTAGTTTATTTGTAATCAAAATTAAAATATAACCAGTTAGCAATGAGCATGAAACCCAATTCGATCTTACGTTTATTTTTTTTGTTATTTTTAGTAATTAGAAGCACAAAGAAGAAATATAAATATATAAATTTGTATGTGTATAATACAATGATTAAAATAGTAATATTTTAGACGTATAGATATATAATATAATAAGTAGGTACTTACACTTTTATATGAATCCTGTGCATAGTTCGATTGGGTAGCATATGAGGCAGGTGAATTCGTAAACTCTTGAGTGAAATGCACAGGTGATGGCTGGGTGAGTATGGGTGTCGGGCTTCTGTATTGAGATTGGTCCAAAAATGCGCTGCTCGCTGAACCGGTTTGTAAAGCCGCTTCCCACGGGGATTTGACTACCTGAACGCCAGCCTTTGAGTATTTCTCAATTAGTTGATCCTGATGCAGATTCAATTGGACACGATGCTTTCCAGCATCCGAATACGCAGGGACGATGCTTGGTGATGTAGCAGCCGGTCTATTGGCCTGATATTGCTGATAATCTGGAATACCAGATGGACTGTGAATTCCGGCATTTGTCTCATCGACTACCCAATTGTCAGCCTTTCTCCGACGTTTTGCAAAGAGCTCAGCTCCTTAATGGTTTGCCAAATCACGACAATTTCAGTTTTTTAGTTTAAATTCATAATTATTATAATTCAGCAGCAAGCAGGCCGAGGCGATTGGCAGGTTGTAAAAGCATGTTAAGTAAAGGAAAGTTATTATTTCAGTTAATTTAGAAATTGTTTCATTTGAATACTTTACAACTTTTTTATACCTGAGCACTCAAATTTTTATCTCCATATAATCCAATAAAACTACTTTGTACTCCTACGTTAAAGTTTTCTAATTAGCAATCCAAAAAAGGTACTAATAACATTCTGATAAGCTGATCCTTTCCTTCGATATTAGGATAGAGTCAATAGAGTCTCAGAAATTAGCAAACAACTTCAAATGAAATTAAATAGTTCCAATATACAGCTTATCACAAAAGAAGAAAATCCATACCTCTTGATAAATAACTATTATTAAAGGTTCTAGAAATTATTCCAAAATATTACATTTTTAAAGTTACTAAAAAATGGCCAGAGGTCATTTTAGAATTCATTCACATGAATTTATCAGAACAAAGCTCCATTCGTTCTTTTCTATTTTTCTTTTTCTATTTTCTATTTTATTTTCTATATCTATTTTTCTATTTTTCGTTCTTTTCTATGGTCAGTCTCAGTCTCGTTGATTTTGAAATATATGTATGTGACAAATCCTAAACACAGTAAAGTATCAAACATACTGAATAATTGAATAGTTAATTACCTCGACCTTTATGCAGTTGCAACGCAGTTATTAGCTCAGCGCAATTGTCGGGCGATAAAAGGCCCGATTCAATGTTTATCGATTCTTTTAATGAATTATAGTCACGCATTTGCCCACGTGGATTCATGACTAGTTTTAATGGCATTTTATCCAGCTTGATTAGTTCCGGCTGCAGCGAATTATCTTCCGCATTTTCTTTGCTTAAAGAGCACGTTTCGATGATATCTTTATCTTCTCCTATTGACAATGTTATATATATATATTTATATATTTCGATTGTAGATGAGGAAAAAATGGTTATGTTAATTATACTATACTATGAATTAAAACTGTTTTCTGAAGCTGGAGAATTATTTAAATAGAATATTTTTTGATTGAGAAACCAATAACGGCAACAGAGCATATATTATTGGCACTTTAATGAAGCCTATAAGACTTGAAAACCATGCAAAATATGCACACATATGAAGTGCTTATACCATTAATAATTACGCGCTTTTAAATAATACATCTAGTTTCAGGTTGCTCTCATTTCGCATAGTAATAATAAAATTCAAAGTCGATTCAGATATGTCCTTCCAAAAGTTATTTACACTTACATACCTGTGAAGTTCTTTTACATATATATAACATATATATAAGAGATATCTATTTTGTTTGTTTTTACCTTGACCACAACCTTCGTGAACCCATTTAACTGAGCGTTTTTTTCGATTCACATACATTGTTTGACCCTTAGAAGTTTGATTGCTTATATCGCTTAATGAATGCGAGATTCGGCGAGCAAGCTCAACTTGGTCCTCCACAGTGGGATGTAGTGTTGGCGAATAAAATGCTGATGAGGCATATAGCTTTCCTATTTTGAACAAATTGAATGCAAATTCAAACAGATTGACGCAACATACAAACAAATACATAGAATGTAATCATGAAAAGGCGATACGTAATCCACTCCTAATTCAAATATATTTAACGCATAGGCGCACTGTTGATAACTGGAAATCTATAGTTATTTACAATGATTAGAACTGATAATAAGAGATGATTTAAGAGACAGTATACCGGAAGTATTCTTTCATTTAACAAATATGAGGAGTCAAGGTATTTTCTGTTCAAGCTTGCTCGGAAAAAGTATATTTCGGAAATCTTTGTTAGTATTTGATTAGCTTATTGTTTTGCTGCTGCAATGAGAATAGCGTTAGAATGAGAAAGGCCTTTCAATTGGGACATATAATATATATATATATATTTATTTATTTATTTATTTTTTTTTTTTTTTTATTTTACGTATCACCTTTTTAAATCATATGTTTACTATTTTTGGGAATTACTTACGGTTCTTGGGCAATATTTGTGGCGCATCTGTCGCTGGAGTAAATATTTTTCGCAAATCAACTGTCCTCGATATGTTGGACGATTCCTATATTGATAACACATACACATACATATTTTTTGTTTTTTCTATGCTAGAGCTGGAAACATCACTCATTCTATGTAGATGTATCTGCGATCAATTTGAATCTATCTAGCATTTCTATGAAGTAGATATCTTGTCCCTATCTACCCAAAAAGGTCTACGTACATTTTGGTTCCTCCACAGTTTTCGGCTTAGTTCGAGCAAAATTTGCTTCTTACTTTCGTCGTATCGATCGCTGGGTCGAAAACCTCGTTTCCTTTCGATTATACAGTTTCTCGATCTATCCAAGTCAGTCGGATTATACGTTTGGCCTGGGCCCTTATTTATAGTTTTTGGAAAATGTGGTTGCATTGTTTCTCCACAACAAAAAGGAAACAATGTCAACTCGTAAAACGCCTTTGATGCGAATAAAATTTGTGTTTCTAATCGAATCATTTCATTTACATACACACATATTTTTTTGTTTTTGTATATGGTAGTACTATTTGTACATATGTACACACATACATATATGTGAATAGCTCTCTTAAATGCTAATTATAGAGCTCGAATAGTGCGATTCACATACATATCGATATAGACATTTATACACTCTCAGAGAATACATGAATATACATACATACATATAGTGTTCCTATGTACTTAATATGTAGCTATACATAATTTATTTCAGTATACGAATTATTTCGTGCTCTTTTTATTTTACGAGATCATTGGGCAAATGGCCAGATGAGAGAAAATTGTGATACCTATTTGTTATGCGTATATATTATATTTAGTGCCATTCCCATTGGGTATATATATGATATATATATGTGAGCAGTTACCAATTTTTGTATCAATTAAAGGCGCTATCAAGTCAAAAAGCTTAAAGGTACTTATACATATTTACAAATATGTATATAATTACAGTAAATATGTGTAATAACCAAAGCTACATGGACATGATTTGTGGGCATGACATTAAGAAAGAATAAACCCACCCCAATTATTTTAAGTTAGGACGGTATTTTACCAGCTTTGTAAATAGATTTATCTATGTCCTATGCCTTTCCTAATGACTTTCATTAAATGTTCTTAGACGGCAATAGACATATGTTATTGGTATGGTGTAATCGCAACGAATTAAATGCCATAATGTCACCTACCTGAAATTTATTTGAATCTTCTTGGCGTTGTGACATGGCTGTACGGCATTGATCCTGCTTAATTGTGGGTTCTATGTCCTCGATGTATTGACGGGGACTTTGAAGATGCTGCTGTTGAGGCACATACTTTTGCCGTAGCAGTTCCTGTTCCTTTAGTTGATTTTCCGCGATCAATTTTTGGGCTAACAATTGTTGCTGCTGAATCTGATTGGCCAACTCTTTCTGTTTTTGTATTAGCTGAAGTTCCTGCTCTTTAAGCTGAGCTATTTTCTCCTGAGCTTTAATGTTAATGTCAATATCAGATATTATGTTTTCGATTTGATTATTAATGTCTTTCTGAAAATGATAGTTAAATAGAAACTTTATTAAAAACAGACCAGCAAAAACATGTATACGAAAATTTTAAAAATATATTTAAATATTGTATACCTACATTTGATTTTACGGCATTTTCATCCTGAATTATTGTTGATTCAGCAGCAATTTCCGACTTTTCCGGAATATTGAATTGGGCTTTTTCATCTTTTGTCTATTAATAAAAACAATGTTTAATTGTCAAGACATGTGTATATGCGATCTTAAAACATGGTTTTTATATAAATAAAGCATTTCCGTTGGGTTTTCATATATCGTCGCATTTCCGCGAAATGATCGTACGTCGAAAAATGTAACTTTACAGAAGCATTTTTGTAATTTTATTAATGCATGTTAATGCATGTTCTGCATTAGATCTCTATTTCGCAAAAAATAAACATACGATCATTTCGCGGAAATGTGGCGATTTTTTGACTAGATTTAAAGAATATTATTTAGCAAATATTTTTTTCCGTAGTCTTAGAAGCTGTTTTTCAATAATAAATGCAGCAAGTGAATACCCTACAATTAAGTAAGCTTGTAAATATTTTGAAAATCATTTTGCGTCAATTTGTTTCAAATATATTTAGAGTTAAATCAAATCTTTTATACTTCTTTCTTGGTCCCGATCTCCAAGTTATCCCCATCGACATCATCTTCACCATCGCCACTTTCTTCTTGCTCTACTTCGGCCTCTTCCTCTTCTTCATCTTCCCCTTCTTCATCTTCCTCTGCTTCTTCTACTACTACAGCTCCTTCCATGATTTCAGTGTTGCCTTTGGCATCAGCTTCATTCGCTGTCTCATTAGCGTTGCTTAGGGCATCCGCATTGGAACTTGATTCCGTTACTTGTTCCTCTGTTTCGATATCCTCTTGGCCTTTGGGTGAAACGACAAGTGTTGTTGTTGTTGACGTTTTGCTTTCCTTATCAGAAATATCAGCTGGATCCGGCTCATTTTTGGCAACAACAATTGTTGTTGTCATTGCAGTTGCCGACCCGCCTTCCTTGTCTGGAACATCAGTACATTCGTTCTCCTTTTTGGTTACAACATCTGTCGTAGTTGTTAATGCTTCGCTTTCTTTTTCGATTTGGGGATCTGTTTCGAATTCTTTAACTGGTTTAACGTTCTCGTTTTTAATTACAACGACTGTTGTTGTTGTAGTTGTAGCCTGGTCATTTCCAACAACACTGCCTTCGGCCCTTTCCAGGACTTTTTCACCTGCATCGCCTATAACAACTTCCGGTTGTTCACTTTTGGTTTCATTTGCACTTGTCTTGATTTTTAAAATAACAAGAAACAGTAAAAAAAAAATTACATATTGCATATATATATATATTTATACATGAAGAGCAAGCATTCTGCATTTATGTGCAGCAGCATTATCATCATAACCGTCATCATCATCATCTCCATCTGTAATTCGCAGTTTTTTATGATGTTCGGAAAGTATATTGAATGCACCAAGTATTGAACCCTTTGAAGAACTGATATTTCAATAATTTTATTTCTTTATTTTTTATTTTTTTACATACAAGAATCAACACAGCGGGCTTACTAAGGGAAACTAATTGCTTAGCAACGTGATAAAAACATTCTAAGGTGTGTACAAGTACAAATCATTAGTTATCGAAATACGCTTTCTGCAAATTTAGGCAAAGAAAATTATGGGATAGTCGAATTATAATAAAAATCTAAATTCTAAAATACATCTAAAATACATCTGTATTAAAATTCATTCATTCATTCATCCATTTTCGTATGAACGCAACTTTTTCGGCGCTATTGAAGATAGAAACTTGAAAATTGGAAATCGCCCCACTAGTGGCCTGGCAAATCGGACCGCATCGACCACCCAAGATCACGAGCTGTGGCGGATATATCTACACCCATTGTGGGCGTGGCAAATCGGATAAAACTGTATCTCCAAGAGTTTTCAAGCTAGATTGCTGAAATTTTGCATGTAAGCTAATGTTATGATTCTATAAAGAATAAAATGCGTAGCAAATCGTACCTGAAGATACAGCAATTTTTAAAATTATTTTATATTTAATACACTATTAATGCTAGAGGCCTCAAATTTTGTATATTTACTGACCTCCCAAGACCAAAAAGTTTCGAGGGATATAAACGGCAAACGACAAAAGATTATATCTCCTAAATTATAAAAGCTAGAAGCTTCAAATTTGGAAAGTTAAGTTACAAGTTACCTCCTCTAGTGATGACCCAAAAGAATTTGTACGCCCCTTAAGGTCTGTGGCACATCGAAAAATACCCTGCAGATTTCACATTATTTGAGCGTAAGCATCCAAGTTTTGCATTTAGGGTACCATTAGCTCGTTCTAAGAACTGACCAAAAATAAGGACTGACCAAATGTGAGAAAACTTTATTTTCTACAGTATTAGAGCTAAACTCAGCTACTAAATGGCTGATGGGATTTTAATAAGAATTCCGCAGTCGGTAACGCCCGACTGCAACGTTCTTACTGTTTTTTTTGCACTTACCACGACTTTAGAATCCATTTTCAGTAAAATCAAAGTAAGTTGATCTACTGAAAAAAAAATCAAAAGAACAGTTATCATTAGAATGCTCTGACTCTTTCATACCACATTTTATTTTTAATAAATCTTTAATAGACGAGACTACTATCTGCCTCTATCCATTCTTAACTTTATTTTTGCATGCATAAAACAGAACCTGCAAATGCACATTCACACGCAAATAGGCACGCGCTCTGCTAACTCCGGTGCAGCATCTGAGTTTGGACTGCAGTGTTTGAACTTAATTGTAGAATAAACCCTCTTGTAGTAGACTTTCTACATACATACATATACAAATACATCAATTTAAGAACGGAAATTAAAATTCTTGTTTTGTATTTTGTATTTGTATATTACTTACTTGAAACTATAGGGTAAACCTGAAATTTGTATCTATCTTCAACAGTATTCGTAAAATGTGCTAATTAAAAACTAAATACTAACAGAATACTGATTATTTTTCAATATATATATATACATATATATATATATATATATATATATATATATATATATATATATATATATATTTATATATATATATATATATATATATATATATATATATATATATATATATATATATGTATATATATGTATAT